TGGGAGAGGCATACGTTCAGCAGTGGACTTTTGATAGGCTGTATGTAATGGTCCTCCAGACCACACCGAATTTCGGTCACATGGCTATCTTCAACGGAGACTAGCCATCGGCGCAGGACAGGATTATAGTGCCCAAGTATACACACAGCACAGGTGTACTCTCTATTCCTTCACTCTCAGTCACATACACGACCGTAGAGAGATCAGGCGTAGGAGCCATGGCTTTACGTGCTCTCTGGGGTGCGGTGGTAAGATACCGCCAACTTGCTGACTCCAGGCAGCTACTGAGAATTTCTTGATGGAAAAGCTCAATAACTGATTTTTTTGGCCCGACCCGGATTCGAACCCGGGACCTCATGATCAGCAGTCGGACTGCTGCAACAACTAGACCAACGAGGCAGTCACGGTAACGGTAACGAAATTATTTACAAAAATTCCATTTAAAAAAAATTATTACAGCCACCAGTTCACTACACAAAACAGGCCCTTCCTGTGGCTATATCGATAACTATGGTTCTACTGATTATAACTTCAATATGCGATTCTGTCGTGCAGGGAATCTCCAAGCATAGCCCACCATAATTTATGAACGACTTTTAGCTTTCTCAAAAGGCCTGTTGTAAATAAATACATGTCAATTCTGTTTGTCATCTGACAACACTTCGAATTATCTGAAGTTGTTGTGCCCAGCTTCGGGCAAGCCATTGTCATATGGTTTTAAACAAAAAACTTACAGCCTATAACATTATATATAGATCACCGCTGAAATTGGATCTCTCATATAGCTCCTATGCTTAGAAGGCACAATGATGATCATAATACAAGATGTTTTAAATAGGTATATTTAATCTGGCATAAATAACGCAAGTTGTACCACCATCTATGGAAAGCCATAAGATCTGTTATTTCCCATGGCACTTTCTCACAACACAATTTACTTACTGAATACGAACAAAATAATATCTGAAAAATATACAAATGCATTCAGTCGCATTGACATTTACATGAAAAATTAAAAAAAAAGTGTCCCACTTAGCATCTTCGTGATGTGACTATTTTCAAACATTTCCTTTATTCACAGGATTTTTCCAACTTACGACTTCATATAGTATTTAACAGGTACTTACATAGTATTCCTCTATTTCTTGTTGCGCCAAATTGTGCACATTTTAGGGTTCTTTATATTTAAGTCGATTAAATAATAGAAATTTCAACGTCAACAAAATGACCACGTGGCATAAAACGCTTTTATAACGCGTAAAGAGTGATTTAGACGATACAATTTTCTTGTACATTCAAGTGCAATTATTGAATGCAATAAATTAAGTGCGTTAATTGCCCTTTAAGAATTGTACGCAACTGTTTACACGTGGATACAAGTAAAAAAATTGAACGCAATTATTGAATGCAAGTCTTGACAAAAAATAGTTGCAAATGTCTTCTGTTTAGACCAATACAATAATGTTTAGGAGATTATTGCTTTCAAGTTTTGACTTGTCTAAATAGAGAGTTGTATGTGCGTGTACCATTTATTGGCGGGTTGCTTCAAGTATTGCACGTATTTGCGTTGTCAAATTTTTCATTCAAGTGTTGGAAGGTTTTGTAAAGAGTCTGTTTATTAAAAAATATGAGTCAAAAAGTGTTAAAATTTGGTTCTGCTGACTTAATAAAGTTTATTGAGATTTATCGCAGTCATGAGTGTTTGTGGGACACTGAAAATGTGAATTACAAGAATCGGTGATGCACGTAGTGCTGCACTTGTAGCATTTTCACAAGAATTTGGAGTTGATGGTTTGGGACCTAAGGAAATTACAAACAAAATAAAAAACTTAAGAACGCAGTATCATGCGGAAAGGAAAAAGATAAAAAATTCAATGAGCACTGGTTCCGGTACTGCTGATATTTACAAGTCCAAACTCTCTTGGTATAATTTAATGGATTCTTTTTTAAGGAAATCTTCTGAACACAGAGAAACAACATCAAATATGGTATGTATTTATGTAAATTTTCTAAAGTACAGTCAAGTGCATAATATTATAAATGTGAAACTTTTTTTTCATTAAAAAATGGCACTGTCTTGCCAAGGTACAGCACCATCATTGTTAAAGTAATGACAATAATGATCACGGATTCTTATAGCTTCCCTTGTACTATTCCTGTTGTTCTCTGATGTTATATTTTCAAAAGCTCCGCCTGAAGCATTTTGTCTCCAAGTACCAAGACGAAGACCACTTCTTTGACATTCTTCGTCTATAAAACCTGGTGGGGTGTAAGACGCAGGTGAAGTTTTCCTAAGCCAGTTGTGTAAAGCACATGTTTTCACTATGACATCTACCTTGTCTATACTTGTAGTGATTGGCTTTTCGAAAATTCGAAATCGGGATGTTAAAACTCCGAAAGCATTTTCAACGATTCTCCTACATCTACACAATCTGTAGTTATAGATTTTTTGTTCTCTACTTAAATCGTTACGGCGAGGATATGGTTTCATCAAATAAGGTTTTAAAGGAAACACTTCATCTCCGACAAGTACTGCATTACTTGGCAAATTTATGGTATTCTCTTCAATAGCCTTCTTTAAAGTACAATTATTAAATATTCCACCATCAGTACCTTTTGCTCCCACGTCAATGCATGTGAAACAATAGTCGTGATCAACACAAGCTAGTAACACAATACTAAATGTACTTTTATAATTAAAAAAGTCTGATTCTGTGCCAGGGGGACATTTTACGTTTATATGCTTTCCATCAATGGCACCAAAGCAGTTGGGAAAATTCCATCTTATAAAAAGCCCCTTATTATTTGATTCCATTCCTCTTCAGATCTTGGCACCTGTAAAATAATGAAATAAATGTATGTTTTTAGAATGATACGTCCCTGGCATCACAAGAAATAGTTTTTGAATATTTTGAAAATGAAAATACGGAAAATATTGAAAATGTTATAAATTCAAATATACAAGTCGTCGATGATGTGCTTCCGTTTCCAATGCCTAAAAAAACAACTAAAAAAGCAGGCTACATAGAATCGGCCTTAGATAAACTGGACAATATTGAAAAAAGAGCAAGACTTGAAAAAAAAGACGATGATTTGGACAATTTCGGAAAATATGTTGCGTCTTCATTGCGAATTTTGAATACCGAAAATAGCATACATGCTCAGGACGAAATACAAGCAATATTATCAAAATATAAACTGCAAGATCTTCGAGAAAAAGAACGACAAAACTCTACTCTAATGCCAGAATCCCCGTATTCGAAACAAGGCAGCGAAGACACATGGTTGAACATGTAAGTTTTTTTCTATTTTAATTAAATATCTGATTCCGTAGTTTATATTTTGATAATAAATAAATATTGCTTATTTTTCGTTCTGAGCATAAATAGTAATTAACAATTTCTAATTATTTTGCTGAAAATATATGATTCTATTATAAAAACTGTTTTATTTCGAACTCACCTTTATAAAATCTTCTAATACAGAGTAAATAGCTTCAAGAACTTCGACCAAGAATGTACTTATAGTACACCTAGGTACTCTAAATAATTGTGACAGTGTACCAAATGAATCTCCAGTTGCCAAATATTTTAATGCTATTTCTAGTTTTGTTCGAGCAGGAATAGCATTACGCATTGTTGTATTTTGCCTTTGTATAGAAGAACCAATTTTATCTAATAAATAATAAAACTGGGTTCTGTTGACACGAAACATGTTCTTAAAGTCATCTTCATTTTCTATTTGTAATTCTACACAAAGATTGTTAGACGCTCCAAGAACTCCTCTTCTTGCTATCCATTTTTTGATCCAACACCTCTTTTTACGACGATTTCTCAATATTTCTTGTCTCAGAAGAGCAGCAACGATTAACACACATTCACTTACTGCACTCATGTTGGCAAATAAAGAGAAAACTAATTGAATGCAAGAATCGCCTAAGAAATTTTTGTATGTGCTGTTTACACCAAAAAAATTTTGGCAAGCAAAACTTGCGCAAAAGATCAAAATGTTACGTACTGTTTAGACCATGCAGGTAATTTATTGCTTCAATTTTATTGTATGCAACAGGCAAGAAACTTGCATCATGTAAATGAGCCTTAACGCTATGCTATGCTGTACGTAATGTAAACACTTAGGTGAATATAAAACTATTATAATAAAACAAACTCCTTATTCTTTCAATGTTTATTTATTAATTTCTGTATCCACAATAGATATACAGAACAGTTTCGGCAATTTTAATATTTTGTTATTTACAAATACTGTCTGAATTAATGTAGTAAAATATTTAGAATGTTTTCGTTATATAGTCAAAGATGTTCTTCAATTTCCGAATACTAGTAAAATGAAACAACTTTTAATATTTATTATGACTTAAGTTAACAAAAAAAAACTTATAAAAAAATCACGTACAAAAATATATCGAATCGTAATATTAAGTCTGCCTTAAGCTATTTCTTGTGATGAATAGATTTTTATGAAACGTGAAATTACTTTAGGTCAAACTCGGTTGATCGATGTCATTCAAACTAACACTACTATAGGGGAATGTGAGATTTGAAAACACCATTATGATACAGAAATTATAAATATTGTACATACATAAGTTACGTTACTGTTCTCTCTCAATAAATTATGCATATTGAATAAGTTATTTTCACGAAACAGATCCAGACTTTAAACGAGTATTAACACTGAATATCGTTAAAAGGAAAGAGAACTCAATTTAAAGATTCCAAGTCTCAACAAAGATTAACGAATAAAACGATTACTGCAAATATAATAGATCATTTCTATAAAATGTTTCTTAAGCGCAACTCCGCGCTCGTAAGCAACGAATTCATAAATTCAAATACAACCCTCAACACAAATAAAACAATAGTACAGTCTAGCAGACGAAATGCAATATTAAATGTAAGATTAAGTGTAAAATTAGTAATTATAATCTATACAAAACTATACTATGGAAGTCTCATTAGAGTGTACTGGGCACTGTTTTCTTATAACTCATCTCGGGCCGGCGCTTCGTCGTCTTCGTCGTGCTCGCTCTGGAATTGAAATAAGCCAGTTAAAGACATTTATCAATATAACTTTTTTAATTCTTTATTGTGCACACTAGGTGATGGGAGTGAGCTTAACTCTAATAAAAGTTCTCTTCAAGCAAACCCTTGTGAAAACATCAATTGAGGTACAAAGCAAGTAGGTAGGTATAGATATATAATAATAAAAATTGGCCATAAGTTATCTAACCCATATCGCGTGAATGTAGTAAGAAGTGATAAAGGGTAACTGAAACAAGACATTGGCAGCAGCATCTTCCTGCTAACAGTTCAAAATAATAAAAAAACTTCGGTTAGTTAGTTAAAAAAGGAGTTTCTCAAACTTCAACTTCAATTTCTTTTAAAGAGCGAAGAAACATATTCTGTAATATCTCTTTACTACTTTAACTGATACAATTCAAGAGATCCGTTGTGAAAGCTGGCGAATAAGGTGACTGGGTACTGAAAGGGTCAAAGATCAAAGTGCTATCTAGAAATAATTATATTATCTCTTAAAAATTCTAATAAAATATTGTTTCGCGAAGGATTGTTGTAACACTGACATTTTAAGCAGAAATAAACCTTTGCAATAACTTTGCAGTAAAGCTTACGTATTAACTTGTTCAATAAAAAGAAAATAATTTAGACACATCTGATAAAGTGCATGTCGTTACCACTTACCACGAAATTAAAAAAATACACGGAATGTTACGTTAAAAATGTGTGAAGCACCGGAGACCCTACAATTTTATTTACGCGAGATACACACACAAATACAAATACATCAAGGTCCGACAATCGTCGCTAGTGGGCAGTGCGCGTCCGCTCTAATAAAGTATAAAATACTCTGTGGTCATTAGAGCTGACGTGTACTGGCATACGGCATACAGACGCCGATTGGCGGAACTTGATTTTGTGTGCGTTTGTAGAACGCTTCATACATTTTACTGTAACATTAAGTCCATTTTTTGGTATGCGGTTGTTATTTAAACTGTGCATAAGGTGATAAGTATATTTATAAAAATATACGTTGTGTTTTTACTCTCTAATATATCTACTAAATGCGTAAATCTCAAAAAGTACCATATACCATATGTGTGTTGCTTACTAACCTCTATAATTATCATAGATATTATCATATATATTACATACCGATACATAAAACTAATTGACGTTCAATACATATTAAAAAAAAAAACACTTACAACACTTGGTACAGGCTCTGCACCTTCTCCGTTAGTCTCTACGAACTTAGTGAGACCGGCGAGCGTCCTCTCGCCATTGTATTCACGCACCTGTTAAATATAAATTTATTGTAATCACTAATGTTACATTAGGTAACATTTATAAAAAGACGTACACGCTAACTCAAGGACTAGCAAACATTTAATATTATGAAATTAATAATACTGTTAAAAATAAAAATACCCTCTCGGTAGAAAAACCCCCACCATTATTATATTTGACATGATAAAAGTGATAAAATCTACTAAAAGTGTGGTTATCTCTACCAAGAAATGTTCTATATTTTAATAATTTTGAGACCAGACTAAATTATTTTCTCAATAAATTTGAATATTATACTGAAATATTCCATATAATATATTTATGTTGCATGCCTGTAGTGTTAATAGGTTCAGTCGTGGTTTAATATTTTTTAATATTTCAGGAAAATAAGACGTATTGTTATAATTATAAATATACAACAAAATATAACATATCAATCGGCTATTATAAAGATTTATTTTAATTGACCAATTGTTTAATTTATATTTATTTTTTACCAAAAATATATTAGACATGTTTTTAGACTATTGTATTATCTTATAATTCTATCCATTACATTAAATTTTTCTTAATGTAATGTAATGCATATGTCCATCAGTCAATGCATGCCTTCCACGACTTTTTCTGCCACAAGGGCGGCGCCACTTTACAATGAGGTAAATCATTTGACAGATTTCATAGTGGGGAAGATAATTTCTTAGAAAAATGTAAAGGTTAAAATTTCTTTCTGTATTATTAGTTATATTTTATATTAATTAGATTAAAAATAAATAAACCAAACTATAAATATAAGTAAAAAAATAAATATATAAAGTACACAAAATTAAATATCAAATCACTGACGCATTGTGTTGTGTATTAATATAACACTCTAGAAACTGATAAACTATTATTTAAAACTAATTTCTCAATTAAGTGACGTTGTGTAACAGTAAACTTTACCTCAGTCACAACTTGCGACATCTGTGAGTGGAATAATATTAGCAGCTAATGAGTTGCTGGTCTCATGCATTTACAAGTTGCAGATAGAGGCAAGTCACTCGATCATTTTAAGAATTCCGTTGGGTCTGGCCCTAACCCTGCGTATCAGAGATGCACCTTTTTACGTTAGGGAGGTTAGCTCCCCTGAATATCGTAAAATCTGCGACAATAATTTTTTCCGAAGCGATATATACTACAGAAGTAGTTTGTGGTAAAATAAAACTAATTAATATTGAAAAAATACCTGGTTGTCCTTAGTGTACAGTTTGATAGTAGGGAAGGAGGTAATCTTAGTGTGCTCGAGCTCGTTGGCGGTAGCGTCCATCTTGGCGATGATGACGTCCTCATCCTTTTCGAAGTGCTCACCCAGCTTGTCGTAGATGGGAGCTAGCTGTTTGCAATGACCACACCTGCAGACAAAAATATATGTTACACCTCCATGCTACACACTATTTCTCTATAAAAAATAGACAATTAATAATCCAAATAAAGGTGAGTGAGTACTACAGCTGTTAGACTTCTGGAATCAACTGCAAATTCAAACAAAGAACACTACTGATGCGTTTTCTCTACAGAGGATGAACATGAAATGCCCCACAGTTTATCAACTAGTAATACGGCAGGGAGTGGATATACTAGTGTACTAATTCCGGGGATTTATTTATAATTAGGCCGAAAAATATGATAAGTCAGTGTGTAAACTAAGCACGAAATTGAATAACATAATGTGCAAAGTAATTTTAGGGGAAAACGTTTATAAGTTGCTGTATCATTATTAGCAAAACGATTGTGAAATAGGTGTAGATTGAACTAAAATTATCAGGTTTGAGAAATTCCATCGATTCAATCGTCGTTCGTTATAGTGTGCGCGTGGGAGGGGGCTGATAGCAGTAAGTCGATATATCGATACCGAAATTATCCCTCAAGGTTTTGGCCAGTATGAGTCGTCCCTTCGACACCCACGGGGCAAATGGTGTAAGCTGAGCTTGTGTCATTTCAATTATGAACCTAATTAATAACTTATTTAACAATTTGCACAAGCTTTCGAAACCATTATTCTTAAATGCGTAGAAGCCATATTAGAAATTTCCCGAAATAACAAAATTAATATGATAAAAAAAACAGGTTGTATTATAACCTGCAAAATAATGGAGCTATCAGACTCAAGGTTAACCGGATTCGTTCGATAAGCGACAAAAAAATTACGACCAACATTTTAGTCCGCAACGACCTCTTGCGTAATATTACATCAAACATCTGCGCCGATATGCAAATATGACAAGTTGACAAGTGAATACAATGGAGAAATGAATTAACATAATACGAGTTTAATTTTCAAACCACTGGGCAAGTAACAATGTTCATTATTATCAGTCCACTGAATACATTCTAACGAGACGCTTTTAACCTTGAACGGGACACTTGAATATATAACTTGAGAAAACATCACGTATGCTTTCAAAGTAAATTTCGCTATCTGGACATAATCATACATTGTAATGTAATAGTAATTTTATAGTATTTTTACGTGGTACGTTTAAACGTGCTAGAGCCATGCTGCAGCTATATTAGTGGTATAGTTGTAGCACGAATGGGTCGCCTCGACCGGGGAAGGACCACGCTCTCACAGAATACCAGCGTAAAATAACAGCTTAACACAGCTGTGTTTCTTATGGTGAGTGTAGAGAACCGGAGACCTTTTTTACTGGAAAAGAGGGCATTCCATCTTAGTCCTCGCGGTTGACAACGCATCTGCATTTTGATTCGCAAACGAGGATAGATGTAGATATCTATGGGCCACAGCAACCACTTACCATCAGATGGACTGTGTGCTTGTTTGTCACCCTATCCTATAAAAAAAAGTCTAATAACAAGTAAAGTCGGCAAGCCCTAGACGAAATTTTATCGACCAAGTTAGCAATGTTGTATCGGCCAAATTAGATATATTATAGATCATAATGAAAATGTAGCATGAATGGGTCGGCTCCACCGGGGAAGGACCACGCTCTCACATAATACCGCTACGCTGCTGTGTTTCGTATGGTTAGTGTAGAGAATCGGACTCTTTTTACTGGAAACGAGGCATTCCATCTTAGTCCTCACGGGTAACAACACATCTGCTTTTTGATTCGTAATCGAGCATAGATGTAGATGTCTATGGGCCACAGCATGCACTTACCATCAGGTGGACTGTGTGCTCGTTTGTCACCCTTATCCTAAAAAAAAGATGGGCCAAGTTAAGAGTACCTTTAACCCACGAGCATGTATGCACAGATGTATGGATATGAAAGCAGTGAGAGAGGTGTGTCAAGATTGTGACAAATGGAAGTCTGTTGACCCTGCCTACCCCACCCCTATGTGTAACAAGCGCGAGAGTTTATGTATGTATGTGTGTAATCTAACAGTTAGTTTTTCATATAGATTATCATGATTGCTTGACCTTCTAGTCAATTCGAATAATCTGTGGACAGCGCAGTACATGGTGTAATGCTGTTGCTACTTTGCAGCAGCCAGCGCAGTGTAAAGCGATACCTGAGTAAACGGAGTGACGACTTTTTTGTAGGTGACGGTGACAAAAGAGCACACGTTCACCCTGATTGTTAGTGTATGTTATGTTCCATAGGCACTTACGTCCACGATACGTTACGCGATACTCGATTAAAAATTAAAAAGATGATGAGATGAAAATGTGTTGTCACCCCCTGAGGTCCAAATGCGATGCGTAAAAATGGTGCGATTTTGTATATTGTTAATGTCTGTGCATGTGAACTATCAGTAAAAAACGATGCAAAAATTCAATAGTACGAGTCTAAAAGGAAGAAAGAATGACATATGACAGATATTTTTCAAATTTATTAATATTTATAGATAGGTACCTATATTACAACATCTAATTTGAAGTAAACGTTTTACTTAGCGGCCCGTTTCAAAGTTTAGTGCGCCACGAATTCCTTGATAAAAGTGCCACTTAATTTCTATATTTTTTAATTGAATTAAAAAAACTTAAAAGTTTGTAATGACAAAATAATAGTTTTTTTACTAAATTTATATGAAACTATATCTTTTATTTCAGAAAAAGAGTAAGGGTTCCCGCGCAAAAATAATAAAACTCATGAAATCCAATCGTAATAAATTCGATGCGGACGAAATTCCGGGGAAAAGGTAGTATACCTAAGTAAATAAATATAACATGCCATTGTCTTCTACTTCACTCGCCTGTTATGTAAAAGTAGTCAGCCCGGTATATAAGTATAACTTATAGCAAATAAATTTATTTTAAGTCACTGAATTCCTAATGTGTTTTTAAATGTTGATTTAAATTAAAAGTTATTTCGTACTTTTACAATTTTGTAGGAGCAAGAGCGCTCTTCGTAATTATATTTCTTATTACTTATCCAATGTGCAAACCTCTTCTTTATTTTATTCAAATTTACATTAGATAAAATTTTAAATATTTTGTTTTGTACGTTTGTACGTCTTATATTTTTCACACTGGTCCCCGTAGCCGGTCTGCGTATTTCACGTTGGAACGAAATGGTATACCGCCTTTAGTTGGGATTTCTGTTATGTCCTAAGTAGCCCTTTACGACACCCATACGACGAAATAGTTAAAATAATTGCTAATTATTTTATTAATATACCTTTCACAAGTATATATATTTCATTTTTAGATAAAACTTATAGTGTCTGAAATAAACATAATACATATGTTTATTTCTTTAATAAAAAATTTACTTCTAATTCCAAACAAGTTATACCATTTTACAAAACGAATTATTATCAACTTTACCGCTAACCATATTATGTTTTACGCTTAATCTGAAACCAATTATTTTTAAATAGTACAGTTGTAAGTGAAATGAGCAGATAAAACGATGCGCGACGGCTTGCCGGTTTCATGGCTCGGTAGCGCAGCGCTATAAAATGAATGAAAATGAAATGATAACACTTTATTTTTGACGTAAATTAAAACTTCGTACGTCAACGTGTATTTTAATCAACTACTGTTTTAATATAAGGTTCCTTAAACCGGAAAAGAAACGGTGAAACGTATGGGCTATGGGGCGCAAGTTCGAATCTCCCATTGTTGAACCATTGTGTTTGTTAGAATGGCCTACAAATAATTGTTCCGGATCTGGATGCTTAGCATTTGCAATTCAAAATATAAAACGCTAGCATGATATAGGAGAAAATCGTTATGACGGGGTATCGTTTTTCTTTAAGCTCATATCACTGCGGTCTATTTGTAAATATCACATAAATAAATAAATGCTAGACAAAATAATATGAAAAAGTTTGGCGGTCGAAAATAAAAAGAAAGACGAAGTAAATAATACTAACCATGGGGCGTAGAACTCGACGAGAACTTTCTTAGTGTTGTCGAATGCCACCTCATCAAAGTTGGTCGCCACAAGCACTTTAACAGGCTTGGCAGCCCAGTCCTCGGGCAACTCCTCGCTCAGTAGGTGTTGTTTCAGGGTTCCCGCGAAGAATGATTGAACGAATTCCTGTTAACAGAGTAATTAAATTATACAATTTCGCCACAAAAAAGTAAGTCTGTTAAACACAAAAAGTAAAAATTCGAGTACACGGGTTTAGAGCTTAATATTGTTATTGTCAATTTAAGCAATATTATAAATAGCATTTGAAGGTACAAATACTTTAAGAAAACGAATGAAAGGTCTCGAGCTGGGAACTGGTCAACACATTATTGAGGGTTTACGGAGACACGTATAGTCCACTAACTATAGCGCACAACCTTTACACTGACTTGTAATAATTTTAAAACGTCAGTAGCCTAATGGCAGGATGCGAACCGTGAACTCGTAAGGTCGTGGGTTCAATTCTGCCATTCGACTACTGTCGTCAACCACTTCTAACACTAACATTTTAAGCTTACCAGAAGTGGTTAAAGGGAATATTAGTAATGTTTAATAGCATTATTAGTATTTAAAAAAAAAACTGATGGCAAGTAGCTAACACAGTTCATGGATACCTGCAGCCAATCTCAAACAAAGAAGTCTACAAATGCGTTGTCATCACAAGGACTAAGATAGAATGCCTCACAGCCTGTGACTATACTACTACTCTACACCTTTTGACCATCAAATCACAGTGCAGTACAACTACAAATAGAGCCGTGGTAGCTCAGATGGTTAGCGCTCACTATAAGCTTCACAGTACTCGAGCAACCCGGGTTCGATCCCCGCCGGCACAAAGAATTTAGTCTTCCACAAACAAAAACCATAAGACATCTCTCTCAATACTAAACCTAAAGTAATAATGACACAACACTAATACTGTAATCATTTATTCCAACATTCATTATCATCAACACATAAAATATTATTAATTAAATTGTGCTAAGAGTGATTCACAGGTAACGACAGTAGTCCCTACTAATTCGAACTCACGACATAAATCACTGACCTTATTCTTAACCATTAATTGGTTACTGCAATCCGTTATTTGATGGATGATCATACTATCATAATGTATATTTTTACACGCAAAATACGCGCTTAGACGTCTTGCGGAAAATAGCTCGTCATAATAGTAATCTAACGTATATTTACACAATTACTGGATAGTACAATTTGCACTATCCCTATTAAAGCAAACTCTCTCAGAAATTGGAGACCTGTGTGCTCATTGGGTCATATTTATGCTGTGTAACTTTACGTATAACTTTAAAATTATATTATATATTAGAAAAAATATTTAACTAACGGGTAGCGACGACAATGAAATGCATGACGCTGCCATAAAACTGCACAGTTTTACGATTTCTCGCTTTGATTTTACATGGAAAACATCCGATTGGATATGCCACTTATAAGTGCAGCAGGTAACAATTAGATATGGTGATACAATTTAATTTTCAGTATGAAATTGATATATATTGCTTTACATGACCAGTAACAATAATATTTATACAACATAGGTATATTATACTGGAAATAGCACTACTAATGTGAATTACCTATATGGCATGATAACATATATAATTGTGAGAATTTTCAAAATATTTTCCAATTGCAAGCCATTTTCTATAGAAAATACATAATATTACATGTATTTTCTATTAAAAATGCTTACATATTTGCCTCTTCTTGATAAAGTTTGTCGTAATTGCCAAGTTCAGCACGCGGATTGGCGATGGTAGTACCAAATATATCACAACTTTAACAGTATTTCCAAGTATGGGTATTTCAAGTGACAGCAATGAATTGGTTCAAAAAACTATTTGCCCTGGATTAATGTCTTTAAATTTTTATACAACTTATGTTAAAAGGGGCTTAGCGCTCTTTGTAAATTTCACAGTACGCGTGCAATCCGGGTTCGATCCCCGCCGGCACCAATGAAATTGTTAATTGCAATTTTAAGTGCTGATTTACCATGATGTGCTCAGCGGTGAAGGAAAAAATCAAACAACATGTAAAGTCCGCCAACACGCCTTGGGGCAGCGCGGTGGACATTTCCTTGCCCCAAAACCTTCTCAGAAGCGAGTTAAGACCTGCAGTGGGACCTATATAGGCTTTAACTCTACTTTACTTTATGTTAATATGATGGTAATATATTAATATCATTCTTACATTTTTTATAAAACTGTAGTGACAAAGGAATTAACAGTCCACCTGATGGTAAGTGGTTACTGCAGTCAATGAACTCGTGAAGAGCAAGCACTGCTGTTTGGTGGCAAAAATACGTAAGCGGGTACCTAGCCAGACGGTACTTCAAGGTAGAAAAAGTCCTATTAACTAGTAAAATACTATAATTTAAAACAACATGCTAGAAATTCTGTGGATAATAATGCTGGTAGTACAATGTAAACCAATCAAATATCAGTGTTACAAAACACACTACAAATTGAATTGCCACACTAAAACTCAAAGTGAAACAAACTTTATTTAATAAAGAATATAAATAATACTTATTGGAAGTCACTGCTATGTTTAATTATCACTAGTTCGGAAAAAACCTCTCCTGGGAAGAACCAGCAACGAACCCAGCATATATATTTTTTTGAAAAAAGAATAACATTTTACAATCATATATAACACAAAATAAATTAGAAGTAGGTTGGTAGCATTCACCTCATTCCCAGGGGTTATTATCATCCATAAATTCCTTAATATTATAATAACCCCTTTTTATACAAACTTTGTTTAATAAAGTTTTTAACCTTTGAGGTTTTAGGTACTTTTCTGGTACTTTGCTGTAAATTTCGCCCCAAGAATGAATTACTGACTCCGTGGTGGAGAGGTAGTTCCTAAACTCAGGAATTATCTAAAATAAACTCATTTACCTCAATAGTATTGGCGCTGAGTTCTGAGCTTGTTGGTTTGTATTTAGCCATGTCCTGTTCGAGGGCAATAAGACGAGCCGATGGCACCTCATCCTTCTTCATACCGAAGAACTCCAAAATTCTAAAAGCAAAACCAAAATTAACATATTTATTTTAAATTACAGTCAGGGCACAATTTATATTACACTGTAAATCTTTTTTCAATAACCACATACATGTATGTGAATCTACATCTAGCCAGAGCAGAAGCAAAACCAATGCCTTCTTTTGGATTTTATACACATAATGTGATTGTTATCGGTTACAACTGCAAATTGAAGTTTTTTTTTCGAACTTTGCTCTATAAACAAAACAGACTGGCCGAGAAGAAACGGCACACTAAAAAAATACGTCATCATTCATCATTACAGCCCTTCACAAGTCCACTGCTGAACATAGGCCTCCCCCAAAGAATGCCACAAAACACGGTCCTGAGCCACCTGCATCCATCGACTTCCTGCATGTCTTACCAGGTCGTCACTCCATCTCGTGGGGGGACGCCCTACACTTCGCCTACCGGTATGAGGCTGCCACTCGAGAACCTTTCTTCCCCATCGGTTGTCGGTTCTTCGAGCTATATGGCCGGCCCACTGCCACTTCAGCTTACTAATCCGTTGGGCTATGTCGGTCACTCTGGTTCTACTGCGGATATCCTCATTCCTAAGTTTATCACGCAGAGAAACTCCGAGCATAGCCCTCTCCATAGCTCGCTGAGCGACCTTGAGCTTCCTCATACGGCCAGCAGTGAAGGACCACGTCTCAGTTCCATAAGTCATCACTGGCAACACGCACTGGTTGTACAATTTCGTTTTAAGGTTTTGAGGTATGTCTGACGAGAAGATGTGTCGTAGCTTCCCGAACGCTGCCCAGCCGAGTTGAATCCGTCGATTGACCTCTCGGTCGAAGTTGGACTTACCCAGTCGGACTATTTGTCCCAGGTAAACATACTCGTCAACAACTTCGAGCTTAGTGTTCCCAACAACTATCGGCATAGGTGTGACATGGACATTAAACATGATCTTAGTTTTGTCCATGTTCATCTTAAGACCTATCCGTTGGGAAACACTATTGAGGACAAAAAAATACGTAAAAAAGGAAAAAGATAAAAAACAAAAGGATGAAAATCGGTCAAGTATTTTGTATGTGGTAGAGCCATGCTGCAGCTATATTAGTAGTATAGTTGTAGCACGAATGGATCGGCTCTACTGGAGAAGGACCACGCTCTTACAGAATACCAGGTGAGTGTAGGGAACCGGTGACACTTTTTATTGGAAAAACGGCATTCCATCTTAGTCCTCACGGGTGACACCGAATCTGCATTTTGATTCGCAAACGAGAATGTAGATGTCTATGGGCCACAGCAACCACTTACCATCAGGTGGACTGTGTGCTCATTTGTTACCCTATCCTATAAAAAAAACTAACCTCTGAGATATTATCATGTTATTCATTTAAAAAAATACAGCCCAACTAAAAAATTCTTTTTTTAAATCAAAAAGTATTTTGTGCATTTAATTTTATCATGGACTTTCTGATTCCCATCTTTCCCAAAATTTCTTTCATTTACGCAAATGTTACGAGTTGAACGAAACTTACTTTTCCCACGGAATGAAATGGGATCCGATCGAGCCTTATGGTGGCTGTATAAGATACAAACCTTACTCTAACCAACTTTTGTTAACTGTTTTCTGTAGTAAGGAGGAATACGACAATTTTGTCTCAAAATGCCAACCAACACGCGACTGGCGGGTCATGCCCAGTCTGATACATACATCATATATTATATACCATATAAATATCTATGTTCATATGTTTAACACACATTTTCACATTTTACAATCTGTTTATTTAATAATGCCACTGACATTATTGAATAGACAGAGATACTAATAAAATTTGTAATGAACTGTTTAACGTATGCCTATTTCCGTCGTCGGCGCGAACAACGATTATAATCGCTCATAATGATAAAAATTAACTTGTTCTGCAACGAATTTGTTTTTAAATGTTATTTTTATAATTATCTTTTATTTAAAGAATTTATCACTATTAGGAAATTGTAAAATTTTATTGTTTCTAACTGCTCAGTAATGCAGAGGATAAGCGTTCGACTACGGCGTGGCGCGTCGCCGGTTTGAATCCAGCAAGGGACAAGTATTTATAAGGTCTACAAATCATTTTTCAAATTTCCATATACAATTTACGTATGTAAAATACCCCTACAATATAGAAAATATTTCTAGTATAGATATAGAGTAGCATTTCAAAAAAGAATTGCATTGTACATAATATTACACAAATGGTACACCCATTTACTGACCTTTGGTGGTCATCCTCATCTGTGTCGATAGCAACGGCCATGATTCTGTCGCGGTAGTTCTTGGCGACTGGCTTCAACTCTTCGATATACTTCTCGAAATCACCATTTTTCTGCAAACATACATTTACGATAACGCAATCACAGTCGTAACTTGAGCGAAATAAAGTCGAAATTCGAAAGGCGCATACTAGATACGTAAAGTTCATCGACAGAACGTGACATGGAGGTCAATGAATCTATTAGGTCAATCACCTTGTCTTTTACACAATACGAGAATAAAATAAATAGAAAGAAGGAACTTGGGCACAATATTTAAATAGTTCATATCCAAAAAAACTTGAACATATTTTTATTATACTTACTTACAAATAAATGCTACTTAATTTTTTTAATATCCGAATTTTTTATACATATTATTTATTAATGTATATTGCTCTTTTCAAATTTGTAGAATCTAACGAAGTATAGCAATTTCATTAATTTATTTTATCTGCCGACTTCCAAAAAGGAGCCGGTACTCAATTCGACTGTATGTTTTTTTTTTCGTTTTTTTTTTTTTTTTATGTGTGTTACCTCAGAACTTTTTTCTGGGTGAACCGATTTCGATGATTCTTTTTTTATTTGAAAGCTGGTGCTTCTCGTGTGGTCCCATATGAATTTGATCAAGGTCAGACCAATAGTTTTTAAGTTATTCTTAAATAACTTATATTGAAGTCGGCTGTACAAAATTTTTAATTTTAAATTATTAAATTAAAGATTAAGTAAAAACTAATTTATGTTTCAATGTTTAAGAAAGCTATTGTAAAATATATCTAAAATTATTAAATGATGTTTCATAAATTAATAAATAAAACTTTGTCTATATAACCAATAACAGCAATAAAAAATGACTTGCACATAATATTTATTAGTTTTTAATGCCATGACAGTAATCTATTGGTAAAAGTAGATTATCTACTTTCACAAAAAGAAATCTCACAACAGTAGGTACAAGGGTAAAAGTAATGATCTATGCATGATTCATTGCAATAATTTTTCAACCATTCATAATAAACATTTTAAGTATGTTACCTAAAAATAAATCCCAAAAAATACCCAAATAAATCTTGTAGCAGTGATGGCGAACCTATGAAGCGCCAGTCAGACACTGGCCCAAGTAGGCTTTTTAAATGACTCGCGCGTTGATTTTTATAACTTATTTATTAATATCATAAAAGAAAGAATGGACAAAAAATATTTAAAATATCCTGTAGCAGTGATGGCGAACCTATGACGCGCGAGTCAGACACTTGCCCACGTAGGCTTTTTAAATGACTCACACTTTGATTTTTATAACTTATTTCTTAATTTCATAAAAGAATGGACAAAAAATAAATAAAAAAGGTAATTTTTATGAAAAAATATTTATATAAATATATTATATTTTGTGGCGCGCATTAAATTAGGCGGGATTTTTTAGGAAAAGTGTGTAAGCACATACAGGGATGACTGCCGCCTGGAGATGATGTCACATGATGCAGTAATTCATGGTTTCAGCCCATTTACATTAAATTTTAATGACTATCTTTATTATTCACTTCTCACTTGAAAAGTAGTGTTGTAATACAAAAATTAAGCAGCCAAGTGCGAGTCGGACTCGCCCATGAAGGGTTCCGTAGCAGCAAGTAACATAATTTACGATTTATGACGTTAAAAAAAAACTACTTACTAGATCACGTTCAAACCAATTTTCGGTGGAAGTTTACATGGTAATGTACATCATATATTTTTTTTAGTTTTATCATTCTCTTATTTTAGAAGTTACAGGGAGGGGGGATACACATTTTAGCACTTTGGAAGTCTCTCGCGCAAACTATTAAGTTTAGAAAAAAATTGTGTAAGAAACCTCAATATCATTTTTGAAGACCTATCCATAGATACTCCACATGTATGGGTTTGATGGAAAAAAAGTTTTTGAGTTTCAGTTCTAAGTATAGGGAACCCCCAAAATTTATTGTTTTCCTTTCTATTTTTGTGTGAAAATCTTAATGCGGTTCACAGAATACATCTACTTACCAAGTTTTAACAGCATAGTTCTTATAGTTTCGGAAAAAAGTGGCTGTGACATAGGGACGCACAGACAGACATGACAAATCCATAAGGGTTCCGTTTTTTGCCATTTGGCTACAGAACCCTAAAAAGGAAACACAATTTTTAGGGGATATTAAAAGTGAGACGCAAATAATTAGTTTTCAACCATCCTAGACTATTCAATGACACTAGGCTTCACGCCACTGACTTAGCAACCCACAAGCTATTACTAAAAGAAATAATGAAAAAAATTTGACCTCAATAAGGTTCGCTGCATCAATGTCTACATAAATATCTACAAAATATTTTTGTATAAATAAGCTATTAAGTTTTGAGTTTCATGCTTTTAAATGAAGAACTAAATGATTTTTTTTATTACCAACCATGTATTTACAAAAAAAGAATATATAAAAGAACATTACTTTGTAATACTATGTTCATAGTGTTACAAAGTATCATTATTATTATAATAAATTAACCTTTCTAAGTACGCTTGAAAAATACTTGTGTGAGGAGTGATTTAGGACAGTAGTGGAATGGAGATTGGATGCTGTGACCTTCTGAGCTTGCAGTCCAAACCCATAACCATCAGGTTACTGTCGCTTTGGTTTATGCACATAAAATAAAAAATTATAATTTACCTTGGACAGGAACAGCAGCAGATGGTATTTGATCTGTCCACCAAAGATCTTGGATGCAGTCTCGTGGGAGAACTCCACAATAACAGGCATGCTTTGAACGAAGACCCATGTTTTGAAGAGATCCTCATTAAATAACTCTGCTTCATACTTGACACGTGGCTCTTCAAACTGATAACAATTGTGAATCATTAGTAACTTGGTACTGTTGCATTACAATGTCTTTAGAACCATTGTCATAAAGGTAGTTAAATGAGAAATAGAAAAGTGATGTGATGATGTAATAATTGTAGCTTATTTTTGACAATAGCAATAACTTATAAATATTTGGAACAGTGATGTAGCATTGATTTCCGCCGCAAGGCGATCTTGAGCAAAAGAGTCACCCTATCCTCCCTCTTCTTCATTATAAAATATAAAAAAATCTTTAAGTTTTTAACAATATTGTTACTTACATTAAACTTTAACTTATTACAGAACTATGTCCTTAACAACCTCAATTACAAAGTAATTTACAATATATGGTTAAAGGAATAGAACACAAAAAAATGTGTTACAAAAGGTCAGAACTTATCTTAACCTCAAGATATAAGTGATAAAGTAGGTGAATATAAATTTCAATACAATGATACTTGATTTAAAATAATTGTATGCATTATTTTTCATTTCAATACACTTTTACAGCAATTAGTGGTCCAGATTTCAAAAAATTTACATGTAATCATTTTTAATAAGTTACCAAGTTCCATAACCACTTATCATCAGGAACCTGTTTATCTGCCCATGTGTCAGTAGGTAACATTATCATTATTGCTGCTTTCTATTTAAATCAATTTATGATGATTTTAAATAATATATCTCAAAATAAAGAGTGTAAAGGAATTTTAAGGATATAATTTTATTAAATATTTCAGATATTATACTATACTCACGTTTTTAAATAGGACAATGTCTTCTGGCTGAGCTTCTAACTCATCAATGATTTTCTCATCACTAACAATTGCGAATACTTGGTCATCAACAAGCCCTGCAACAGCAAGGAAGGCCTTTGCTTTTTCAGTTGCCTGATCTGGGAAGAAACCAAAGACAGCAACAGAGTTGGCAGCAATTAATTCCTTAGCTTGTTCTACTGATGTGATCTCTGTAGCAGGAGGACCCGTTTTCTTCTTCAACCATGCGACAATGTCATCAGCTTGTCGTCCTCCTGTTTGTAACAAAGGTATTATGTATCAGATTAAGTATTTTTTTAATTTCACTATAAAGCAAAAATTAATACAATAGTAGTAAAATAATATAATAAAAATTACTCTGTTGTATATTTAGTTTTTACTTTTATTAAATATAAATTTATTCATGAAAAAGAATACCAACCAATAAAGTGATTAAGAACTGTAATTATAACGGCATGAAAAGCTGATAAAACATTGTTTAAAAACTAATTTTGTAGCAAACCTGATAACAATTTGCTTAGCTAATATATTGCAGTATGACTAAATTATCAATAACATTCATTACCTGAGTAATCAATAGGGTTGCCGTTCTTAAAGAATTTCAGTGTTGGATATCCTCTGACTCCATAGCTTTCAGCAAGCTCTTGCTCTTGTGTGGCATCTACCTTAGCCAATTTGATTGGAGATTCTTCCTCATTCAGCTTCGTAGCAGCCTTAGCATATTCCGGCGCCAACGACTTGCAATGACCACACCAGGGCGCATCTGTGACATAAAAGTAAATTTACATTTCTACTCTAGAACGCCGGTAAAGACGTGTAAATTAATTTTAAACTTAAAAGTTTAAAATACATGTTAAAATGTGAAAGCAAATAGAAATCTTAAAACTTACAGAATTCGACTAATATGAAGTCGGTGGTGGAAACAACATTATCAAAGTTGGCTTTGCTGAGAACCAGAACATTGTCTTCAGTTGGTACTTCATCGCCGAGCGCGGCGCCCAAAAGGGCTATCGCTACTGCTATTAATGTTACTCGCATCTTAAACGAAGGAGTGCCTGAATACAACTACTTTTTACTCGGACAACGAAGCTCAACAAAACGCCGACACCGAAAATGCCACTTCATTCACACTCACACCGTCTTATTTGACGTGGCAGCGTCGATCGTGTGTTGGACTGTGATTGGTTGACGTTTTTAACGAGATCTTGTTGCTTGTTACAATACAGCAGAATATTTTTTTTAATTAAAATTAATTTTATATTTAAATATTAGTATGAAACTTCTACTGTTTAAGGCATTTAAGAAAGTTTATCGTACATAATATATAATATAATATACATTGTAGCAAGTGCTTAAGTATGATACACGCGTATAATACAAGGCTTCATGGTCATTTTACATTTGTCTACGACAGTAAACTATTTTGACACTTGTTTAGGGTATATTAATTAGGAATACCCCAAATTTAATAACATTTAAGACTTTCCCTAACTAATTATCATATAAACTCATAAAATATATAGATGAACTTCAAAAATTGCAAATAATCGAAAGACTGCAGACATCGTTGGCATCAAAGTCGATGCTGAAACATAGTGTACAGAAGAATTAAAGACCCTTATTTCATCACATAAAAATATGAAATTTATGGTATACAGTTCTTTAAAGTCGGTTTAAAAAAATTATTTTCTTCCTTTAGGGCGGACTAATAAACTTAAGGTCTCAAGCTCAAGGTATCAACTAGAACGTCCTCTAAATATTTATATAATAAACTTCATCCCCTATTTTTCACACTTAGGGGTGGTGTTTTATCGTGAAATTATATGTATAACCTATTTAATATAAAAATAATTATAACAATTAGCAAAGATATCACGTAACATACATACAAAAAAAGTACAAAGTCCTCCTCCTTTTTTTGAAGTTGGACAAAATTGGCATGATTTTTACCGTCTTTTCGAATCGAGTAGAAATAAAAGTCAGACAGTAATAAGTAAAGCTTTTCTGTTTCCACAACAGTAATGGTGATTAGGAGTTGATTTCTCCATAGACAGCGGATAGCCGTGTAGTGAATCATAATATCATCTCACATCTTTACTCTATAGCCAGCCAGTCCGGCTCTGATATTTTTTTCTAAGATATAAGCGAAAGCGAAGAGAATTCATGTTATGAGATTATCAAAGTATAACCTGTCGGAAATATCTGCGAACCTGGCTTGATGACGTCATGCAATATGGAGAGATGGCAACGGTACTGGATAGACGATAACGGGCGGAAATATCTGCGAACCTGGCTTGATGACGTCATGCAATATGGAGAGATGGCAACGGTACTGGATAGACGATAACGGGCGGAGGTGCGGGGAAGCGCGAGGGGAAGCGCATTCCAGCGAGGGTCGCAGATATTTCCGACAGGTTATATTTGCATTTTGCGTTCTATATAAAAGTGATATGTATAGTTGTATATAAGAGATGATGACTTGTATTAACGATGATAATGATGATGAAATTAGAACTGTAAAAGATAGAGAGAGAAAAGTTAGGCGTGTGGTTACCCTAATAGTTGACAATTTGTAATTTGTATACAGTTACAGTAGGTCACAGTAGGTACCTAATCTATGTTGATAACTTTGATTTGACTTAATTATGAATGCCCGTGCCGTAATAATCACAGACTACTTTTTTATTATATAATAAGGCGATAATTGTGATGTGTTTGTGATAACAACTTTTGAACAATTTGAGTAATGTCTTCTATGTTATAGTAAATAACAATAACATAGAAGATATGGGAAGTTCTTGTAGAAGATGCAAACGGAAGGGGTAATTTTATTCTTAAATTTAATATGATAAATGTAGCACTATAATTTAAAACTCAGCTAATTAAATAATTTTGGAGGTACAACACAAGTCTACTGTAGTGTAATAAAAATATTCTTTTCACAAATATTTAAATGGAGCGATACCTTCATTATTTATAAATAAGAAAATAAAGTATGTAAGAGTTTACTAGTAAAACAGTTAATTATCTTAAATAAGAAATAAAGAGATATTATATTAATGGCAGATACCTTATTCATTAAATTTGCTTACTGCACTGTCATTTGAGTTGCTAAATCAATGATAGTGACCTTCAGAATGTTTGAAGATTTTATTTTAGAATTTTAAAATTGGACACCATCCAAATTTACACCAGTACTATAATTGATAGTTCATCACATTTGGTTCCATACATGATATTCACATGAAAATTATAATTAAGGTATATTTATTAATACATTCCACTTTTATATTTTAATATTTATAAAAAATTAAATAAAAGTGAAATTAATATGTATCACTTGTATTTTATAATTAAAAATAAAATTTCTTCCAAAATAATTTAGATGCCGGAGTTAACTGTAACATCTGAGATATATGAAGAATATGATTATCAAACAAAAATTAAACCAAGCCAAGATGGGAGTAAGTAAAATAACATTTTAATTTTTGTAGCAAAGATTTTTTTATGCTGAAGAGTATCTAATGATAATGACAAACAATGGAAAAAAGTAGAAATAATCTTTTTTTTAAATATTTTTTTATATTAAAGAATAAAATACCCTCATTTTAGTATTTACCATATTCATTTTCGTTTTACAAAATAAAATAAGCTTTACTATTTATAAATGTTAATATTATTCACTTACATATTTATTGAGACTTACATAAATTAGAAAATATTTGTTATATTTAAAAAAAAATTATACTCATAGAAACAGTAAGTTACTTATAAAATTATTTATTACACCCATACTATATATAATTCTCCTTGCAAGTCTCAATATTTAAAAAAATGTTAACTGCATTTTGCTAGAATAAACCTACTTCCTGCATCCACATACTTGGCCATTACCACCAAGCCACTACCTACTGTTTATGAATTCTAGTATTTTTAGTAAAGTAAACATTATTGGTGTTATAACTTAATTTTGAAATATAATTATAGATGTTATATCAGAGTTTCCATTTCTTTTGCCAAAAAGCAGAAATAAACATAAGTTTGACAAAGATGATGACTTAGATGTTGAGAGGCCTCATAAAGCAGTTATTAAAATTGGTGAGTACTTTTTTACCGCTTATAAATTTATTGACAAACATTTGATGTATTTGTCGCAGCCAACTAGCTTAATTGGCCTTTCAGTTAACAGTCTAGCCTTTTTACTAAATGGCACCGTTCAACTGGAGGCTTGAATGATATTCAGCCGATATATCTAATACAACATTGCACATATCTTGTAATATCAGTGGCAACAGGTTATGGTGTTGCTGGGGTGGCCCTTGGGTCCACTGTAAAGCCACATAAATTTATATAATATAGCACATAGCACATAATTAGGCACATGGCAGCGACATTACATGTCATGATCATCTTATTAAGCGAGATGACTAAAGAGGCTAGGCTGTTTACTGAAAGGCTAATTAAGCTAGTTGACTGCAACATATATACAATTTATCTACATATCCTTACTTCAATGGATAGTAGGCTGTTATATGAAAGATAAAAAGATATGAAATTCTTACTGAGAAGATATAAAAACTTGTTCATTTTGTAATATAAGTAATATGCTTATGGCATATAATGTAGATACACTCTTTGATTCCAAACATTTGTGGTCTTTATTTCATAAACTGTTACAAGGATATTGTAAGGCAACCAAACATCCTAGATTCTGCAGGATAGTCCTGCATTGTAATTCTCCAATTATTATAATTAGAAAAAATCTTATGCAAATGGCATTCCAAAGTCCTCTTCTATGCACTTTTCCATTTTGTAACGTTGATCCTAACATGCAGTCATCGGAAAATTGTTCATTTAAAAGTTTTAAAAACTTTTATCTTTTTTGACATTCTGAACTAAAACCAAGTAAATGCCAAACATACCTTTTATAAAGCTGGCCATTTTACTAATGTGTATTTTCAATTTTTAACATGCTATAGATTTTTATGAATAAGATTGTAAGGAAATTGACATTAAATTAACTTGAAGTAAAAACATAATATACTTTACTATATACTACTTATTTGCAATTTGCATCATCGGTTAATTATCATTTCAGAACATAGTTCTAAAACAAAGATAGCACTTGTTGGTCTTCAAGTATGGAGGGGTGCGTTTCTGCTTGGTGATTTACTTATACATCTTGGACTAAATGGAGAGTTAGAAGGCAAAAGTGTGCTGGAACTTGGTGCTGGTACCGGCTTGACGAGTTTTGTTGCTGCTTTATATGCAAAAAAAGTTATTTGTACAGGTATAATTTTAGATAAAAAATTGTGTCTTTTTCTTTACTGGGTGACGTTAAGTAAAAGTAAATGAAAACACTGCCATAACTAGTTCGATAATGTATTTCCAAATATTTCATTTTTATATATAATAAAAAAATAAACACGATGTAAGCTGTGGTAGCTCAGATGGTTAGCGCTCGCTGTAAAATTTACAGTACGCGAGCAAAACCCGGGTTCGATCCCCGTCGGCACCGATGAAATTGTTAATTGCAATTTTAATTGCTGATTTACCACGTGCTCAGCGACGAAGGAGAACATCGTAAGGGAACCTACATGTCTGAGAAATAAGAAAAAAAATATTTCGAAGACATGAAGTTCGCCAACACACGTTGGGGCAGCGCGGCGGACACTTCTTTGCCCTAAACTCTCTTAGAAATGAGGGGAAGCCTGTGCCCAGCAGTAGGACGTATATAGGCTTTAACTCCCCCCTCCCCCCTCCCCCATAGATTGCCTTATAAGGGAGATATTTGCCATAAATGCTACTTGGCTACTACGGATTGAAAAGCGCAGCTTTTTAGTTTCTAGTTGTTATTTGGAAGATGCCGCCTATATCCTGGATGGTTGCCTCTGTCGCTTACGACACCCAATGGACGATATTGGATAGTGGATATTCTTACCTCGTCATTACATGGTAAATGTTATCTCCGGCTTCTTGTTATTGTATAATCTCTGTCAGTTATTTTCTTTCAGACATTGACTTGGGTGGAATATTGGAGCTTATCAAATTGAACGCAAAATATAATAGCCATTTAATAAAATCACAGTTTCAAATAATGCCTCTGGATTTCACTCAAACGGAATGGAGTAGACAGCTATCAGATGAAATCAGTAACGTTGATATTGTTGTCGCAGCGGATGGTAAGATATTCTACCAACATTTTAAAAGGCAGTAATTCAGCTGAGGACCTTCCTCTCATTAATTCTGTTGCCAAGCAGCAATACACCCATTGCTCGGTTCCGGGTTGAAGAGTGAGAGGCAGGATTTTTACAGGCTACTAGATATATTAACTTAGTCCTTAGGACTAAAAACGCCACATATACCTATTTTATTTGCTGAAATGGCACATATTCCTATTTTTTTTAAAGTTAGTGCAAATTACTTTATGGTCTGCAATAGCTACTTACCATCAAGTGGAGTGTTAGCGTGATAGCTCATTTTGTCACTCTTAATATTATGAAAACTTTGATATACACTATTAATGTTATTTGGCTCAGGGACTATACTCCCTTAAATACTCATAAATTTTGGCAAGCTCTTCCATCTCAGATCACATTTCCAGCAAGAATAAAGGCGGAAGTGTTGTATCGTTATTATTTAACACGTATTTATATTAAATAACGTACTAATATAACCTCCGATACTAAAATTAGATTATCATACCTACATATAGAAAGTATACAGAAGCACAGAAAATTAATTTTATAAAGCATAAAACTCTTGTTCTTTTTATAAATTAAATAAACATAATTGACTTCAAATGTGTGAACGCACTACATAATTGTCGTATAGAATTCATCACACTTGTGTTTGCATAAAATTTCAACAACCGCTATTATCAACGAGATCATAGAATACTTTATAATACAATGTAAATAAAAGATAATAAAATATATAATTTATAATAGTCTCTTCAAAATGATTATTCAGTACATCTTTATTATTTTTTTATTTATTAAGACTGAGAGCCGATTTTTCAATCTTCAAATAAAATTTATCCATATAATGAAATATAACATAAATTAGAAATTTATGAATCCCTTTTTCAATTATTTTTTTTAAAAACAAGAAAATAATTTGGTAGGCAAACTACATATCAGTATAAAGTAATTTTAAACCATGCACGTTAATATGATTGCATTAAATAGAGATGTAGGAGTTCGCAGAATGCAATTTATATGTGCTAATAACATTAATTGCAACTACCCGCAATAATAGCTTAAATGATTGACACAAGAGCACTTTGCTGTTTCCACTTTTGAAAGTGACGAGTAACAGTAATTTCACAAGTTAATTTTGGACAGTCCGTTGGACATGAATTGTCGCGTAAGTTACGCTGAATGCGATATGCGAAAAAAGCAATAAATGTAGTTGTGTACTCAGACAAACAAATAAATGTAGACAACTAGACAGAAACCTCTACATACATTACAAGAGACGCCGGAACCATGCTCAACTTCTTGACACGCATTCCTGCACACAACTTTCTTGTTCCTTTGTTTAACAACTCTTAAAAATCCTCTGCTAGATGCATACACATATATGCATCTAAAATCATGTTGTTGGTTGCATATGATTTTATAAGAGGTACGAGGTATACAGGGTTACTTTTTAGAGTAGCCAAATTTTAAACTTAAGTTCAAATATATAAATAATGATATACCGTTGTTGCAGTTTTTTAAAATACGAGTAAATAAGGCTTCTACTTTTATTTGAAATTATCCCAAATTGAATGCGATTTATTGGGCTACAACGTACCTATTTGCCTACTGATCGACACTTACGAATGTGTGCGTGCGCAGTAAAATCGGTTAAAATAATGCATTACAAGGCGTTTTAAATTTAAAAGATAAAAAGGACAATGTTTGAGATTTTTTTATTAATTTTTAGGGTTCCGTACCACAAAAAGGAAAAAACGGAACTCTTATAGGATCACTTTGTTGTCCGTCTGTCTGTCAAGACCCTTTTTCTCAGGAACCGGTGAAGGTATCAAGCTGAAATTTTTATCAAATACTGAAGTCTACTGTCCCTTGGAGCTGTGAAAAAAATCAAACTTCTAAGCCAACGCAATCAAAAGATACAGCCCTTTATGCCGCAAATTTTCGACATTCGCAAGGGAATCAAAACCTACAGGGTACTTCCCGTAAACTCAGAATCTTCAAATTTGGTACGAGGCAACGTATTATAGCACAGATAAAGGAAAAATTGCGAAAAGCATAAATTTTTAGTTACATCGTATAATAAAAATATTTTTAATAATTTTAAACTTATATACCTACGGATTTGTTCGGAACCCTCAGTGCGCGAGTCCGACTCGCACTTGGCCGGTTTTTTTTTTCACCGTTTGCCTATGTTACTTATTCTGAACCATCTCCGCAAATTTGAGCGGTTATTGCAAAATAACCCTGTATACCTATTATGTGCGTGAGTGTTCTTACAACAAGTTGTTAGAATAGTAAAGCGAAATGAAACAACCCATACAAAAACAGTATTTTATTAATTTATTATCTGTGTGTGTGTACTTTGCGTACCTACATAAGTACACACACACACACACACACACACACCCACACGTTTTTTTTATCTTCTTGTATCTTTTATCTTTATGCAGGAACTTATACTTCTTTAGCGTAACAAAACAAAAATAACTACCTTAAATATACTTATCAGTTCCCACGAAAACTTGAGAGACAGTTAGTTACCCACTAAAGTTGTCGCTTTGAGGTGTCAGTGTGCGCGCGCATAGTAAAAATTTCATGGTGTCGTTTTTTGGTGTCGTAAAAAAATCAAATCATTTTTCCCAAACGCCCCAAAAGAACTATAACTTCAAAAGTGCTAAATGAAAATCTAAAAGTGATAAAAAAAAAATTAAAGGTGGTAGAGCCATGCTGCAGCTATATGAATTGTATAGTTGTAGCACGAATGGGTCGGCTCGACCGTGGAAGGACCACGCTCTCACAGAATACTAGCGTAAAATAGCAGCTTAATGCTGCTGTGTTTCGTATGGTGAGTGTAGAGAACCGGAGACCCTTTGAACTGGAAAAGAGGCATTCCATCTTAGTCCTCACGGCTGACAACGCATCTGCATTTTGATTCGCAAACGAAGATAGATGTAGATGTCTATGGGCCGCAGCAACCACTACAACCACTTACCATCAGGTGGACTGTGTGCTCGCTTGTCAACCATACCCTATAAAAAAACACATTATTCAATTTAATAAAAATGTAAGCTTACGAAACGTAAACGAACGCAAATAGTACTGCTTGCACTGCTGTGTTCCAGTAAGGGTATAGAGAGTAATTTTATTAGCTGTCAATCTGTGAGGCATTCCATCTTAGTCTTGAGACGCAGAATAAATAGCAGTACTACGTACCTCAGAGGTGACAACGCATCTCTAACCTACTTTCGTTAAAATTGGCTGCAAGTGTGCATGGACTGCAGTAGCCACTCACCATCAGGTACACTGTTAGATATTTTGTCACTTCAATTTTATGATAATAGAAATTAAGATTTCCAAGTTTTCTGTAGATAGACAAAGTTATACGAGCATATTAACGTTATAATAATTTTTTTAGTAATCTACGATGACGACATCACTGCAGCGTTTGTTTCAACCGTACAAAAAATATTGAACACAAGGCCCCCGAAGGTGCTGTACGTCGTGATGGAAAAGCGATATGTTTTCACCGTCGAGCATATGGACTCAGTGGCGCCTTGTTACGAGACATTCCTAACGTTGCTCGATAAAGTTAAGTCGGAAAATGGTCATTCCCCTTGGACTGTTGAGCAGCTCCCGCTGGACTTCCCGAAGTACTTTACTTACGATCGTGTCAAAGAGTTAGTACTGTGGAAGATATTTTCGAAGTGAAGCGATGTAATAAAATCTGTGATATGTAATAAATCTTTGCTGTTATTTCTTGTCTTTTAATTAATTTACTTTGTTTTTTTTTTTTACTTTTCTTCATAATGCGTTATAATCAGTCTTGTTCGTTTACTTCTCATTAGGGTAAGGTACTCGCACTTATCAACATTATATGTTATTTCGGTTATACTTATCTAATACTTTGCGAACGCAATAAAGGAGGTGTAAGTAATTTATGTAATTTATCTTGATTTTATAATTCAATTTACACGAAAGAAAACAAGAAGTTAATTGTAATTTTACGTGATCGAGTTCTAACGGAGTAGTATGTTAATTGAAGAGACGAACGAAACAAACTCTGGCCACGCACAATGAAGAGGCAAGGTTCCGTAGTTGCTAGTCACAATGGCGTGCTCACGAAGCTCTTCCTTGATAACGAGCATAATAAGTGAGTTCGCAGTTTGACCGCTATAACGACTAAACTTCGGACCAAATAGACTGAAGGACTTATTTTCAAATCATCCTATAGGTATTAAAAACAGATAAAAAAAAACTTTTCTATTTTGATAATAATAGCCTATCAATCCCGCAAATGAAAAAGTAAAGCTAATAGTAGCAATGCATATTATAAGTCGTTTTTCGCAAACGGACTGCTGAATCAAAAAGATGTTGTTGAACACCCCCAATGTTTTTGAAATACCTATCCAACGATACCACACATGATGGAATAGACGGGTAAAAAAAAATCATCCTCTATTTACTTGTATGGGAAGTATCCAAAATAAAAATGTTTTTTAAGATTTTTATTTCACAGTTTTCTAGGCGTGAATCATATCTATAACTATGCCAAATTGTATAGATTGATTTGTAGCACCTAGGGTTTCTCAGCATAACCGCGGACGGACGGACATGGTGAAACTATAAGGGTTCCTTGTTGTGTAACTACGGAACCCTAAAAGTCTCCCCAAATATAATAAAATACAGTTTTTTTTCTTTTGAGGTGTAATAAAAAAACTGACAAATTCATAGATTCTTGGTACATTTATTGTTAATGAATGTACATTTTGTTAACATTTTCTACTTGATTTAAATTATTATACGAAAAAAACTTTGGAACACTAATAATCACGTCGTACAACAGTACAGATAATAAATAAATATTGTATGAGTATAATTTAATAATACGTGCATGTTACTTTTGCGTGGGCCAAAACTCATTGTATTTGGTGAGGAATGTTTTTCGAAGTTCAGAATTCCTCGCCTGTTGGTCCTTCTCTTTGCTGAGTTCCTCAATACTTTGCCCAACGCACAGGTCTCCTGTAAAGTGAATAATCACCACTTGCGTGTTGAAGGAAACGTTCTTGTCTGGTGTTTGCTTCGCATAATTACTTTGTGACTCAAAATCCATTTCCAATGATACAACTTCACCAGCTGTAATGTGATTTATTTTGTTATTAACATTTTTTTCTATAGAATAAGTGGCACACAGTCCATTGATGGTAAGTGGATGCTCTGGCACATAGATATCTACATCTATCCTCGATTACGAATTAAAGTGAAGATGCGTTGTAACCCGTGAGGATGAAGATGGAATGCCTCGTTTCCAGTAAAAAGGGTCTCCGGTTCTCTACACCAGCAGCGTTAACCTGCTATTTTACGCTGGTATTCTGTGAAAGCGTGGTCCTACCTCGGTCGGGCCAATATTGGGTCAATATTCCCTAAATTGACTTCGTTACCACACTGACACCATTAACTGCACCATTTAGTTATCTTGCATAATATACACATTAATAAAAGTAAATTTTTGTAAAATGCTTTTTATGATTACGCATTTTTGGAAAAGCTGATGATAATAATGTTCTCCAGATTGAATTTCCGTCACCGCGGCCAGCTTCAGCGGAGGCTGAAGAACTAAGAGCCAGCTCACACCGAAACGCGACGCGACTGGGCGCGCACTTTTTAAGATAGTAATACAAAATATGACTTTATTTACTACACAAAAAGATACATATTTTATTGGGATAATTCAAAAATGCCTCGCGGCGTCGCGCTACGTCGCGCTGCGCCTCGAGATGCCTCGCGGCGTAGCGCGACGCGTCACGACGCAGCGGTGCTTCGTCAGTAGGCGCAGCGCCAGCGCAACGGCTTCACGATGCGTCTAGTGACAGGTCTCTTCAAGCATCGTCGCGTCGCATCGCGCCATGGTGTGAACTGACCCTTACCATTTGCGTCGGACGGGATTATAGTGCCCGAGTGTATGCGCAAGCACAGGTGCACTCTCTATTCTCTCACTCTCATAGTTCGATGGGACGGCAATCCGATACGACTAGTGCAGGACCAACGGCTTTACGTGTCTTGCGGACCACGGAGTTAAAACGCCGCCAACTTCCTGATTCCGGTCTGTTACTTATGATTACTTAGTTAAAAGAAAAAAAAATCTCGAAGACGTGAAGTTCGCCAACACGCATAAGGCAGATATTTTATAGGTCCAGATACCGTGTACGCGCAACTAAAACGCTTCCATTTCAAAGGCGCCAATATTGGCGTATTCGTTCGATCGTTCCGCCATTACGGTTACGCCAGCGACGTTCGCTGTGAATATACGTCACGCACCGGTGTTTTTAATTTCGCAAAATGACTGTTTGTGCTGTGAAATCATTTAAAAATTACTATTGGAAAAAAGATAAGGATAAGAACATCACTTTTCATAAGTAACTATACAATTTTATGGTGTATTTCTTTGTAAAAGAATACGAAAGCTAAATGTCAATACAAGTAATAATACTGCGCAATAATATTCGAGTGCTGCCTAGTCTATGAAATGTTTTTACCATTTTTTAATATCATGATCAACCACAAAGGTTATCTGTATAGGTGTTTTAAACAGTCTAATTTTACAGATTTTACCCAACCTATAGAGTTAAACTGTTTTAAGCGTTAGGGTTGAACTACATCTGGCAGCATGAAGTTGCACTTTCCTGTGCTTCTATCCTTTTTGGTCACTCAGAACCGTTATAGTGTAACCGGTATAGTTCCACCCTCAAAAAGCCGATTGTAAACCGGTTTTAAAAGTTTATCTATCATTCTTGACAATTCATACTAATATAATATTATAAATGTGAAAGTGTGATTTTTTTGTTTATTTGTTTTTGTCCTTCCTTCACGCAGCAACGGAACGGAGCAATTTTAAAAAAATAAACATTTTGCTATCTTTTGGCTGAAGTTTACGCTTAACCAAACTTACTTTTTTTCGTCATTTTACTTAGGATTGAAAAATAATTTAATGTCTTCGTAAAAAGTGTCAATATTTTGTGTTCTATAGTACAAAAGTGTAGTACTCTGTATATATTTAGTAATAATAGATTATAAATATATGTTACATACATAAATATCTAAAGTGCTTTTTTATTTATTTTAACTGTTACATTAATTATAGGTTTTTTTACATATCTTCAATATTTTAGTGCGATGTTCGTACCTACATAAAACACACATAAGCACCCATATCCCCATACACACACACATACAAATGCACACGCCACGCACACACATTTTATACTCTTAGAATCAATAGGTACGTCAATAGGAATGAAATATAAAATCTCCCACATTTTTTGGGTAATCGATTCGCACTGTTATTACCGAAGTCACGCACATTAATGCAGCCATGGTGCGTAAGATATGCGCGTCACGTGGTACTCACGCACACATGAATCAAAGACTGTCTTCATTTTGAACGTTGCGGTGTGTTAGCAACACGGTATCTGGACCTATAAAACATCTTTGGCATAAGGCCAGTGCGGCGAATATTTCTTTGCCCTAATACCATCTCATAAATGAGAGTAGGCCTGAGCCCAGCTGTTGGACGTATATAGGCTGTAACTTTAACTTTTAACCAAGAATTTCTTGACAGAAAAAAACAATATTGGATTTTTGCATGACCCGGGATTCGAACCAGGGACTCCGTCATCAGCAGTCGCGGATGGAAAAGATGATTAGAAGTTGCGTTTATGGAAAAGGTGATGATGTTGACCGGATAGGTGTAACTTGACTCGTAGAAAATACTCAAAACAATGATTTCAAAAGGAAGGATACGCCCATCTAAACATTTTACTTATGCATTCTTCATACAAGCAAAAGTAGCGCCATCTGTCATAACACATACGAACTACATGAGTGCCGCGTTGCATTGGTCGACGACGTAACCAGGGCTGGATTTTGAAGTATAATATATTTCGAAGTATAATATTCTCATGACCCAAAATGTCTAATGACTACATCAATAACGACAATTATTTAAATCGCACACCTGCATTATAATCGTCAGGTTCGTATGTAGAGTCACCGGTACACTCGAGACCACTGCGATTATCCTTTAGTATGCCCCTTGTCGTTGTCAACTTACTGATTGCCTTCTCATTGCTTTTAGCATTCTCTTTGTGTTTGTTCTTATCTTTGTTGCGGAGGAACTTTTTCATCTGAAAAAAACTTTCCATTACATAATTTATATATTAAATATAGACGCGCTAACACGCGTGGGTTATGCGCGTTAACATTTGTACTTAAAAGTCTAATTCTGTGAGACACAAATGAAAGAGAATACATATACATAAATTGTGAAAATGAATGTCTTACCGTTTTTGATATTTTTTTCGGTGCATCCGTGTAAATCATTTTTGGTTCTCCAGGATTACTTCCTAGGACCCTAAGAGTGTTCTTTGGTAAGTCAAAATCAGAATAGACCGGGGCTTGAGCTTCCATAGTCTCCTTATGCCGTCCTGGTCCAGTAGCAGATTTACTATTTGTCGGTACATACGATAACCTACCAGTGTATTCTTTATTTGATTTTTCAACTAATAATTTATTTTTTCTGTATTTGTCGTTCCTTCTCGTGGGTGACACATCGTCGTTCGAAAAGCTTTCTTCTGATGTCGAAGGAAATACTTCGTTTAAGCTTATTACTTCCACGTTGCATTCTTCAAGACTAGGTTGACTTATTACATTTGGTATTTGACATAATTGATCGGTTGAATGAATACTTATGAATGATTTTTGTGCAGAATCCAGTGTTGTATCTTCATTGTCCGTACTGGACGATTTCTTTGTCACGGTTACTGTAAAATATTATAGCTTGATTATGGCAATCAAATACATGTGTAATATACCTACACATTGTGTACACCAATACACATTAAAACGAAACAAAATGAAATATATATATATATATATATATATATATATATATATTTTGTAATAACCGGCCAAAATTGCAGAGAAGTTTCAGAATAAGTAACATAGGCAAATGGTGAATAAAAATCAATCAAATAATCTGCCTTTTTTATCTTCAAAATGCGTGGTAATGCATTATTTTACTGCGCACGCACACATTCGTAAGGATCGATCGGTAAGCAAAAACGTGGTTGCCCATAAATCACATCCAATTTGGGATAATTTCAAATGAAAGTAGAAGCCTTATTTACTCGTATTTTCAAAAACTGCAATAACTGTATTGTTTGTATATTTGAACTTAAGTTTAAAATTTGGCTTCTTATTAAAAAATAACCCTGTACTTATAGAAAGTGAAAGCGATTTCTTCCAGACAACCCTTTTGCGCAAATAATTGTTGTTTACAAGGAATCGCGAATAGGGAAGGTGTACATAAGTAGTAAAAAATGTATAAAAAAACAAGATGATGACTGTTGAGGATCGGTAGAATCGATCAATTAAGGACGGGAATTATGATGTGAATTATTAGAGCTCTAAGTAGGTAGGTAATTAGTTTTGAGTAGATTTTTGAAGAAAGAGACTAAGCACGTCAAATATATAAAGGCAAGGAGTTCCACAAGCATACAGCTGTAACCGAGAATGATTTATTGAACATACCAGCATATATACAGTTTTCTGCAGCTTTACTATCAGTTCTTTCACCTATAAACAAATATACTTTAATTAGGCATTCTGTAGTTTGTTATATGCAATTTTATTTACACATTTTTATAGATGACATACCTCCATCTTCAGTCCGGGACTTTATTAAAGTTTCTATTGTGTTTATATCCGATAATTTATGTGCATCCTTCGAATTTGACATATTTAAACAATAAATTTCAGTGTGAACTTTGTCAAATGTCTTCCCATTTTTCTCTTGATTGGACACAAATGACAGTTCTAATTTCAATGTATCAACATTTTTATAAGAGTTACCTCGCTTAAGATTTTATTAAATCGACAGCATCGTGAAAAGAGACTTTAATAAACAAACTTATTTATTTTTCTAGTTAGCAATAGTTCAGGAGCTGAGGTGCTTGTTTTAAATTATTTTATAGCATGCTCCCTCGGGTAGTTTTCTAATACTAATATATACTAAAGAACCGCGCTTTGTTCACCGCTGAAGATGTTCATTTCGTAAATAGTTTAAGAGCTGATTTTGTTTTTGGCGGTACATATAAACATTGTGAAGAAATCTGCATGAAAAAAATTCTATACCAATTGAATTAAATATTATAATATTTTTCTAGTCAATTTTCGACTACGACAATGTCCGTATAGAATTTTTTTTTTCTAAAAGCGGTACCTTTAAATTAGGATTTTCTATTGTATCGTAGAAACGGTTTACATACATTAATTGCACAAGAGCGAAAATTTAGTCTCGCAACCATTATTTGTAGACTATACGAACACTTGTCGTACGAGATTCGAACCCGCGGCTCTGCAGAGGCAGAGCTACAACGAAACGCTTAATCACTGCTCTACGGAGGAGTGCAAACTCAGAGCTCACAGATACTTCCTCGATCTTACCTATGTAACTCTCTTTATTACTTATTTTTTTTTTCATATAAATCTGACTATTGTCAATAAGAACTTTTGTCATTTGATAGCACGCAACACAAACTGTGCAAATATATTGTAATAATGTCCTCTAGACCGAATTTTGATCACGGCGGCCAGTCTCAACGGAGATTAGCCATCTGCACATGACAGGATAGTTCCCAAGCGTAAGCACAGGTGCACCCTCTATTCCCTCACTCATAAAGTCCACTACTGAGACTGTAATCCAACACGACCGGAGAGATTAGGCACAGGACCTGCATTCCGAGGCACGGTGGTGAAAAAACCGCCAAATACCTGACACCGGGCTACTACTGAGAATTTCTTGACTGAAAAACCCAATATCTGATTTTGGCTTGGCACCGAGATTCGAACGCGTCCTTGGTTCGAATCTCACTTATGATCAGCAACCGCGTTTACGATCACTAGACCTAAGAGACAGTCATATACTGAAGCTTGTACTATATGGCAGTCATATATTGAAGCTTGTACTGTATGGCAGTCATATATTGAAACTTGTACTATATGGCAGTCATATATTGAAACTTGTACTATATGGCAGTCATATATTGAAACTTGTACTATATGGCAGTCATATATTGAAACTTGTACTATATGGCAGTCATATATTGAGCAACGCTGTAACAAGAATGGGCTCTGTGATGTAGAGCAGCCCACATAGCAATAGATACATATATTAGGTATTTAATTCTAAGGACGAAAAATACGTTCACTAATTTTTTTAAAGAACGTTACCACCATACTAGGATTTTCTCCAGTATCGTAAGGACAGGTTACATAAATAAATTTCACAACGACAAACATCCAGACCAGGAACAATAATACAAATACTTTTTCCGTACGGGATTCGAACTCGCGACTATACTCATAGCTAAGCCACTGCGCCACGGAGCCATCGTTTACTAGAATTGACATTTCTACATTACAGTCTTCAATACGCATCTTCTCTACATCTGCGTCCGCTCGATCGGGGACACGTTTGCACACACATATATATGTATATGTGTGTAGGTAATGTGTATGTGTATAATCTATGGTTGTACAGGATACCAGCGTGAAAAAACAGCATACTGTTGCTATGTTTCGTATGACAAGTGATGAGAAGCAGAATTCACAACTTCTGTTCACACACCGAAGCTATCAGCCACACAAGACTGGTTGCAGAGTCACAATCACAAGGCCACAAATAAGCACTGGTCCACACATTGTTGCGTTCCGAATTAAAGTTTAAGATTACAATTAGAGTCATTCCATCTTAACCCCCTTCTTCTTCCGTTACCGTTACAGGCAGCCTACAAAAGTTCACTGCACGAACATGGGACTCCCGTTTAGATTGCCTTATAGGGGGGATACTTGCCATAGTTGCCACGCTTGGTAAGCGGGCGGCTCTGTCGCCTCTTACGACACCTACGGGATGATATAGGGTAGTGGATATTCTTACACTACACTACACGGTACTTATACATCCCACTCTTAAGTACAGGCCTTCTCTCCTTTCCGAGATGGTTTTAGGGCAAGGAAATGTCCGTCGCGCTGTTCTCATGAGTGTTGGCGAACTTCACATGTCTTCGAAATATTTTTTTTCTTATTTCTTCGACATGCGGATTTCCTGCCGATGTTTTCCTTCATTGCTGATTACGTGGTAAATTAGCGCTTAAAATTGCGATTAAAAATTTCATTGGTGCCGGTGGGAATCAAATCCGGTTTGCTCACGTACTGTGAAATTTACAGCGGGTGCTCAGCCCCTGAGCTACCACGGGTCTAGCTCTAGTAGGGGAGTGCAGGGAATTAGAGCGAGCGAGTAATAAGAGCGATGGCGATTGGACGGAACCTATGCACATTCGGGTGACTTTAAGCACTCGGCCGTTTCTGTCAACCATCGGGAAAGTTTGGGTGTAGCGCACTAGTCGTAAGTGCCCTGCGTTGAACTACGAGGAACGGTTATGATTTTCGCTCTGCGCTTATAGAACACGGCCGAATGCCAGCGTTTAGAATGAAGATATATTTATGAAGATATATTCTTATTTTGTTTATGCTTATTACATTCATCTTCTTTCACGGGACATTTGTTAAATTGGGATTGAAAGTCGAATAAAGTATTTTTTTTTGTAATAGAATAGAAATGTGTTTATTTAACCAAAAAGCATTACATAATTAAACAATACACTGGTTTCTGCACTAAGCTCTAGGCTTGTATTTATTTTGTTACTTTTCAAAATGGTGATCAGCGGATAATGGGAGCCTACATGGCTCTCACTACAAGACAACTCGCATTACCCTGTTATAGTTCACAATGTATTTTTAGGACATTTTAGATTTATTTTTGTTTTAGATGCCGCTTAAAAGAGATCATACAAAAACAAAACTTCTTGGACGGTAGATTCATTAGTAAATGCAATCACTACTCTCAGGAGAGGAGGCATTTCGGTGTACAAAGTATCTATGGAAACTGGCAGACCTTACAGCACTTTAAACTAAATAAAAGACACAATTTAGCGAAAGCTAATGATGATAGCTAAAAAATTCTCCTAAGCTGGGAAGACATACTGTATTCACTTCTGAGCAAGAATAAGATACTGGCTGACCTCTACGGACTATGTCAAAACGAAAATTTAATTTACATTGATGAGTCAGATGATTCAGAAGTGGAATCTCTATGTGCAATTTGTTTAGAGACGGAAAAAGTGGGAAGATGTGGTACCGATGCAGAAGTTTTTGTTTTATAGAAAATGGGTGACAAACGAGCACACAGTCCTCCTGATAGTAAGTGGTTGCTGTGGCCCATATATCTTGAGGACTAAGATGATGAGATGGCACCCTTGAGGACTTAAGTGGAGGAATGCCTCGTTTTCAGTAAAAATGGTCTCCGGTTCTCTACACTCACCATACTTTCGTATTTCACATTCACAGCAGGATTGAGCTTATTATACGTTGGTATTCGGTGAGAGCTTGGTCCTTCCCCGCTCGAGTCGACCCATTCGTGCTACAACATGCTACAACTATAATATAGCTGCAGCATGGCTCTACCATGTAAGAACTGCTGCTTACATAAACTGGGCACATAAAGAAGGTTCTGGCAGCGATAGTCCAACTTCTTATATTTGTGATTTTGGTTTGAACCGTTTTGTTTTCCTTTAATAAATTTATTTTTATTTATTTGTTTTGTTCCATAGTTTTTATCTATTCCATAGTTGATTTTTTAATTCGTGTTACAAATAGTTATTTGTACTAACAATTAATACGAGGGTGGATTGAAAAGTACTCGGCCTAACCAAGAAAATAAACACATACTAAATCAGTTATATTTTTCTACATAATCACCATCAAGTTCAATACACTTTTGCCACCTCCCCTTCCAAGCATTTAGACCGTTGAAAAAAAAAGATTCTTCCTTAGAGTCAAAATATGCGTCTACAGCTGCTTTGACCTCGTCGTTTGTCGAAAATCTTTGAACTCCCAAGTGCTTTTTTAGATTAGGGAACAGAAAGAAGTCTGATGGTGCCAGATCAGGTGAATACGGCGGATGCGGTAACAGTTCAAAGCCACAGTTGTGAATTTCAGCCATTGACTGTACTGACGTGTGAACACGGGCGTTATCTTGATGAAACAGGACTTTTCTTCTGAGCATTCCTCGACGTTTTTCTTTTATTTCCTCTCGTAAACGACGTAGTAAGGTGCAGTAGTAATCAGAGTTTATATTCTGACCCCTTTCAAGATAATCAATCAAAATCGACTTAGCCTTTTTAGGGGGTGGTGAACCAGGTCTTCTCCACTGTTTTGATTGTTGTTTTGTTTCCGGTGTACAGTAATGAACCCATGTTTCGTCCATAGTAACAAAACGATTCAAAAAATCATCTGCATCGGCTTCAAATAACTCCAAACAGTCGCGTGAAATAGTCAATCGCGTCCTTTTTTGTTCAACTGAAAGCAGTCGCGGAACCCACCTCGCAGACACCTTGTGGAAACCCAACTCGTTGACAATGATGTTTTGAGTTCGTTCATAAGAGATGCCTATAATCTCGGCTATCTCTCTAATTTTTAATCTGCGGTCTCCCATTATTAAATCAAGTACTTTTTTAATATTTTCGTCAGTAGTTGACGTCGAAGGCCTTCCAGAGCGGGGTTCATCTTTCACACTCTCTCTACCACGCTTAAATTCTTCTATCCATTTTTTGACGGATGAATATGACAGAGCACAATCGCCTAATGTACTGACCATGTCATCATGGATGGCTTTTGATG